CTAAAATTACTTTTAATAAAAAAATCAATACCCACGCGAAGCGGGCGGCCACTCTAGCTATACTAAAAATAAGAAAGCAAAAAGGCTGGTCGGCAGAGATTTGTTGTTAGGTGACATAATCCGCGCGTGGATATAGCAACAAAAACTTTTCCCCCACTCTTTCTGACAGCAGCCAGTTTGGGAGACAGCTGGATGATGTCATCAATTCGCGGCCGCTGGTCCGACACGTTTGCATGCAACTTGACAAACTTGCCTCAGCTGTTTTAACCTCTTATCTGTTCTCCACGTGTACTTCTCGAGCAGTTCCATTACACGTGGCGTCTTTCTTTACGTCCGTACTTCCTATATTTGTAGACTCTGCAACTTGGGCTCCTTTTTCGGTCCCCTACAGTGCCCTCTAACGTTTCCTACTTTCACTCTTGTTTTTTTTCTTTTTCTGTTTTTCCGTTTCCTCGCGACGGTTTTTCAAAGGATCGCCGTAAGCGTCGAACTTAACGGCGCATTAACTTTATTGGCTGCTTTCTGGTGTCGTTCGCCACATCGAAAATGTGGATGCTCTCATTTGATTTCTTAAGTAAAACATATATAATTCCCGTATTTAAGTCCACTATTATTTTTTTGTTGTAATATGAGTAAAGGGGTTTTTGTGACAAGGAAAGAAAACATTGTAAATCAGTAAAAACATATGTTGAAAGCGACGAAAAACGTTAGGTTAAGTTGAAGAAAATAAAAAAAGAATTAAATAAATAATTAAGAAAGAGAAGCTTTAAAAGAGAATGTGTTAGCTCCATGAGTAAAATCTTTCTAAATAAATTATGAGGTTTTATATATAGTACTAAAAGTGATAAATATTCAAAAATAAGTTTTAATGCGCTTAATGAATGATATTATTATAAAGAGTTTTAATGTGAGTAATCGTTATTGTAATTGGTTTAATAAGACTTGTTTAAGTAAAAGGTAATAGGGAAGAAATATATTTGAAAAAATACAAGAAAACTAACTATACGTGAAAAGGTATACGAGATTAAGGTAGGAGGGTAAAATATTTATTCTGCAGAAAAAGATTAAGAAGAAGACCTTTTAATTACCTTTACATTTGAACCACAAAGTCAAACTCTCCGGAATATCTCAAGATGAAAGTAACCTTAAACTTTGTTACTTATATCGAGTTGCTATCATTACTATCCATGTGAAGTGATTATTCTGTGCGAAATAGTTATTTTCATGAAGTAGTACTTCATTTGTTGTAGTTATTCTACGTCAAAAAGTGTTTCACCTGAAATTGTACTTCACTTGCTCTAATGGTTCTGTGTGAAGTAGTGCTTCACTTGTTCTCATTATTCTTTGTATAACACTACGTTGTTAAATAATTCTTTAAGAGAATAAATAGTAATCAAAATTTACTATCTATATTTTTCTCCCTATATAAGAATTTTTTTTCTTAAAAATAATTCTTATGTATTAATTTAGAGAAAAGTTTTATTTTGTACTATAACACATTATACTGTAACACCTTAAGCAATATGCAGTAACACCTTTGTCTGTAATGCCTTAGGTAATGACACTTTACCTAGTAATGTCTTAGCTAGTAACATGTTATTATCTTATGTAAAGTATAATGTAAATACCTTGTGTAATATTTGTTTGATTATGTAATAATATATTTTTCATATGCAAAAATATTTTTAAGATACAAATCATAAAAGGAAAGTTAGTCTTTTTCATAAAAACCTTGATTCTATGTGGCTTATAAATATGAAGTTATTATGAATAATTTTCTTCATTTTGATGAAAAGAAAAAAAAATTCCAAGCAAAAGAAAATTTAGAGCAA